AATGTTTTAGGCCAGGCCAAGGGACTGGCTCAACACAGGAGTGGAGCGAAGCCACCAGCCTGTGCCCCGCAGGACTCCGAGACACACGGCACACCAGGAAGATCAGTGGGTAGAAGCTGGTGAGCTTGGCTGCCTGGGTTCTCTCCCCAGCTCTGGTGGGGAGCGGGGGTTGCTGGTTAGAGCAGGGGGGCTGGGAGCCAGGACTCCTAAGTGTTCTCTCACCTCTGGGAGGGGAGTGAGGGCTAGTGGTAAGAGCAGAAGCAAGGAGTGCTGGAGATAAAACCACTGCCAAATGCAAAGGTGAAAGAATCTCTACCCCTACTCAAGCTCCATTTACATTTGATTCACAGGTGCTCTAATAAACAGCTGACCAACCACTAAAGAGCCAAGATGTGCCTTACACCCATTGGTGACAAGTCTAGGGTGCTCAGGACATTCACTTGGTGCACATTAACCCTTGGGAGGCCACACATAAACGGAACCTTAATCTGCTTCCCTCATCCATGCTCACACAATATGCCTTTGCTGAACCTGGGGGCTGGCCCGGTTCAGATGGCAGCAGTCCCATTAGGCTCAGACAAGGCCAACACTTGGGAGATCACGGGGATAAAGGTCAGCAAGTCAGCATAGTTGAGGACTGCTAGTGAGGAGATGGCTGATGTTACGAGGGATGTCAGCGTATAGCCATTTAAACAATCATCCAAATCACTACATGCTACCCTCCCCACTTGCTGCCTCTGATACAGAGGCAGCAAGGGGAGGGTAAGACAGGAGCTATCAAAACCCCATGAGCCCCAGCCAGTTTGCTGGTTCCTGCGGAGCCACCCACACCCCCTGCTACCCACTGCCTCCCATAGAGGCAGCATTGTGGGGGGTAGGCAAGAGCTGGTGCTCAGGGCAAGCTGGCTTAAAAGCCCCACAAAGCAACGGATCCCCACAGAGTCACCTGCCCCCCAGCCCCCGCGCTGCTGCCTCTGGTAGAGGGGCACCAATGTGGAGGGTGAGGGGGGCAAGCGGGCAGGAACTGGTACACATGGAAAGCAGCTTTCAAGCCAGTTCCCCTAGGTATTGGCTCCCTGCTGCTGCAGCTCAGAGCTGGCTCTCCACGTGTGCTGGCTTCGGGGAGCTATCTACCCCTCTGCCTTGCTGCCTCCCACAGAGGCAGCAGGGGGAGGGCAGGCAGGTGTCGGTGCTGGGGGAGCCAGCTTAAAAGCAGTGACACTGTGGAACCACCTGCCCCTCCCACCTCCACCAGAGGCAGCAGCTCAGGGTGTCAGGCAGGAGCTGGTCTGCTGGTCCCGCCCCCTCCAGGGAGTATTTAGTGACTGCATAAACGCTAAAAATTGTTGTGGCTACATGATTACTAGACATTGTGTATTTTAACATCCCTACTATTTACTTGGACAGAAGACAGAGGCCAGGGAAGGGGCTGCTGGGGAGGGATATGGGGGCTGGGCTGGGAGGAGGGGGCTGCTGGCCTGGGCAGGGGGAGCAAGCAGAGCCCACCTGGCTGCAGGGGAGACTCAGACGTGCTGGGCTGAGGGGGGCCAGACCTGCAGGCCTGAGAGTTCCTGCAGTATGTTCAAAGCTCAATAAACCCTCCTGTTGGACGCTGGCTGAGAGTCACTCTGGTCTAGAGAACAGGGCTGCACTAGTCCCTCTGCAAGTGGAGGCCCCAGGGGCCCAGAGTGAGTGGATTCCCTGAGGGGGCCCTACAGTGAGACACAGGTGTGCTGGGAACTCAGAGAGCTGCGGTCCCAGGAGGCGGCGAGGCTAATCCCCGAGAGAGAGTAGCTCCCCAAGAAGAGGCTGTCACACTGAAGGGGGTTCCCCGGGGGCCATACGAGCCAAGCGTGGGCATGACCTATGCGCATGTTACATGTGAAAGATGGGTGAGTTGTCAACACTGGGTCTCCATCAGAAAGGGCCTGCATCCGAGACCATCAGAAAACAGGGATGCCCCCGAGCTAAGTTTCACACTTTTGGTGAAAAAGTTCCACTGCCGTGCCTCATGGGAGATGTATTCCAGCCAAGCTGCCTGGTCCATAGTGGACAGCGGCATGGGGCATGCAAACTGTAACTCCCACAAGGCACGGGGGGAGCATTTCCTAGTCCAGACACGGGTAACAAACCCAACATTCCACTTGAGGATGTTAAAATGCAGTTATCAGGCTCTCAATAATCAGGCGGCACCCCAGAGATGATGCCAGTTCCCCACATCACTGGCTCCAGTTCCCCCCAACTTGCTGCGGGACACCGCAGAAGCACAGGGCCAGCAGGGACTCAAACAACCCCTTCTGGCTCCGAGTTCCCACTGCAGCAGTTCAGACTTTGAAATCTACAAGAGCCCCGCAGACTTGCATTGTTTCCCCGCTGTGCCCCTGTTCTCCCCCCCCCCCGAGCACTGGCTCCTGCTCCCCCCTTGCTGCCAATTCCACTGAGCAACCAATGTAATGGGAAATGCTCTCCAAGTCCCATACCTAGGGCATTCTCAAGCCTGGCACGTCAGGCACTGGCTATTTACCCACCATGCCCCAGGGAAATGGCATGCTTTGGGCATGTGCCACTGGGGTTTGGCATTCATGTCCCACAATCTGTGCTCCAGAGTGTAGAAGGATGGGGAATGCGTTACCCTGCCAGCCTAGGGCTGGGTTTGAGTCCCTGCTTTGCCAGACTTCCTGGGCGAGTCATTGAGCTGCTTTGGTGACTCGGTTTCCACACCTTGGTCTGTAACAGGGGAAGCTAGTGAAGAATGGGAGGCACTTGGATACTACAGCTATAGAAGTGGCCAAGATAACAACCTGGATCGAAAGGCCAGAAAGTAAATCATGCCCAGACAGATGAACCTGGGTTTCCAGAGAGGAGACTTCAACACCACCAGTCACAGGTTCTATCTTTTCTGCCTGCAACAGCTGGAGCGAAGATGCTGGGTTTTCATGCCATGTCCATCCCATTCACATGGAAATTAAGTCCATCACTGATCACCCTAGCATGCAAATAGCCCACAGGCAGCAGAGACTGGGATGGTAATTATTATTCAAACGAGCAGAGCAGTGGGGAGCAGCACAGACCCTGCTGGCAGAACTGAGGGTCCTGTCGCACTAGGATCTCAGCCAGGGCTTGTCTAATGCCCTGCACAGCAGGGCCCTGAGCTCAGCCTGGTGAGGAGTCTCATAAGGGCCCCTATCTGGGTGGGTCCCTGGGCGCTGCTGCAATACAAATCAGTATAGCAAGATGGATACCAAGGAGCCGTCTGCCTGTGTCCATTAATGACCCGGAAGGCAGCTCGCTGTCATTAGCGCACCCTGCACCTCAGGACATAACTGGTCTCTTACCTGCCTGCACAGGCAAGCGCAATGCACACTTGGTGGAGCAGTGAGGCGATGCCCTGAGTGGTTAGGGACTGGCCTGCCCAGGACCACACTGGAGTAGATAGATGGGCTCCTGCAAGCAAACCCCCTGCTCAAGTTCCCACAACTGCCCCGCTCTGTCCTCCAATGCTGAGCATTCTGCTGCCTCCAGCCTTAGATGTGCTGCTAATTAGGTGGAGACGAGGAATTACTTGTGCAGTGGCTGCGGTTGGTATTAGAGCATGGCTCACCGGTACCATGGGCTACGACAGCGGAATGAGTGACTGCTAATGTTGGCTCCACAGGCCAGGGGCAACTCTTTGGTCTTGGTTTGTGCAGCACCCAGCACCAAGGAGCCTGAGGCCATGGCTGGGTACCCCAACGCTACTGTAATACAACTAACCAGGGATGTTAAAATGCGTTAATTTTTGTAAATACAGTAAACTTCTGATAATCCGGCACCTTTAGGACCCAGGGGGTGCCGGATAATCCTCCCCACCCCACCCCACCCCCCTCATAGCCCTCCCTTCTGATAGTCTGGCTCTGTCCCAGGCGTCCCTGATTCAGCCGCTGCTGGTCAGTTTCAGCAGTGGCTGAATCAGGGATGCCTGCGACAGAGCAGCTGGGGTGCTGCCGAGTTGGTCCGGTAGCACCGCCCCTTGGCACTGCGAGACCAATGCGGCAGCAACCCAGCTGCTCTTGGGGACGCCTGGGACAGAGCAGCCGGGGTGCTGCCGGGTTGGTCCCGCAGCCCCGAGGGGTGGCGCTACCAGACCAACCCGGCAGCACCCAGCTGCTCTGCCCCCGGCTTCCCCGATTCAGCTGCTGGTCAGTTTCAGCAGCGGCTAAATGGGGGAAGCTGGGCGCAGAGCTGTTCCAATAGTCCGGCTGCACCAAGCACTTCCGCGTTCCTGATGGTGTCGGACCATCAGGAGTGCCGGAGCATTGGATGCCAGACTAACAGAGTTTTACTGTATGTAACTGCTGAAATTTTCAGCGGTTACATGTTGGGGGGGGGCATGTGAGCACCAGCTCCTGTTTCCTCCCCCACATGGTGCTGGTGCCTCTGTTTCAGAGGCAGCAGCAAGGGGAAAGGGGCAGCTAGTTCTGTGTGTGTGGAGGGGGAGGGCTGCATGTAACTATGAGGGTTAATCAATGAGCCCAGGCTCATCAGTTAACCATGTACACAGGTACAGGTTCACATCCCTACGAAAAATGGACAGCAACCAGCACCACGGGGCCCTGGTTGTGTACCATGACACTATTGTAATACACCTAATAAAAGACAACACCCACCACCATTGCTGGATACCCCAACAGTACCATAATACACCTAACACACAGTTCCCAGTGCCATGGGGTCCTGGGCCACGGCTGGGTACCCTGGAGCCACCGCAATACCCCTAATAACGCACAGTACCCAGTGCCATGGGCCCTGCAGCCTGAGTTGTGAGGGGTGTGAGGCTTCCAAAATGACTGAGGACTCTGTGCAGCACCCAGCATGACTGGGGACTCCCAGTCTCAATGGAAGGTAGAGGGGAGCCAGAGGATTTCAGCATAACTGGGACTGTCCGTGCCATTGGCTGCCTCAGGGAGGTGTCTGGGAACAGGGTAAGCGTGTGGCGAGCCAAGACAGGGTGGTAAACTTACCTTATAGACCTGTCCATACGTCCCATTCCCAACCACCTCCACCAGTTCAAATATGCCAGCGGGGTCCTGTGGGGGAAAAGAGACACACAATATCAGGGGTGCCTATGCCACAAACCTTCTGCTGGATGTGTCTGTCCTCAGACCCTCTCTGTGCTGGCCTGTCCTTGGATGGATCCCATCCTGCCCAGTTACTTCAGTCTCACCCTGTCCTTGTGCCAGCCTGCCCCAGAGACCCCCCCCTCCTCCTCTTTCCAGCCCAGCACACCATCCAATGCACCCCAGTCACCAAGTGGGGAAGTCACAGGGCTCCGCACCCTCATCCAGAGCCAGACATAACTCAGCTTGCAAGCAGAATAGAAGGTTTATTAGTCTAGGTGGTCTCAGCATAGAACAGACTTGCTGTCAGTATAATCCATCTTGGAGAGAGGGGGCTCAGAGCTGCCTGACTCCTTTTCTGAACCCCAAGCCCTCCATACTGCCCCACTCCCCACAACCTGGTCCTAGCAAGGCTCCTCCCCCTACCTTTGTCTTGCTTCTCTGGAAAAACCTGACCTGGCAGCCAGGTTGCACCCCTTTCCAGGCTCAGGTTATGAATGACACCAGCCATTGGGTAGTTAGGGGAGGCTGTCACACCCGAAATTCCTATCACTGTCTAGGTATTGGTGCAGTGCCCAGGGAAACTAAGGCACATGTGTGCACGCACACACATACGCAGGATCACTATAGGAAACTAGAACTCACATGCAGCATCACAAGATGAATGTAATCCCACTTCATCGCACCCCCCCTTGTTGGCCCACATTGTGGCTCCCATCTGTCCATGGGTACCCCATCTTCTCTTCACCTTCTGATGCTCCCCGTCAGCCTGCTTATCCCCCCCGCCCTTGGGGTTCAACGTTGGATGCCATGCCTCCCGTAGGCCCTCTGATGGAGATCCCTTTTGACTGATAAGCCTTGCCACGACTGCTTCCCAGCTTGGCCAGGTCTCTCCACCCTCCATGGCAGCTGTTGGGTGTCTGCGCAGTGCTTGGCCCAGAGGGAGCCTTTAGCTAACCTGGCTCACTGCTCCTGGATGGAAGTAAGGCAAGTTCTTCAGATCTTGACACAAAATGCAACGGTAGGGGGAGCCAACGGCACAGGTGGATTCTGCGCAAGGGAATCCACCCTCTGCGCAGAGTGCGTGCAGAGTTAATTATACCCATACTCCAACAGCTGGTTTGCCCATAACACAGATTCATGCATGCACCACCCCCTGCTTTTCTGTACAGGGTGGTGGGAGCTGCACTCAAAGAGTCTGGGGCACGGATACAAGGCGTTTTGAAAAACACATGGCTAGTTTCCCCGCTCTGTGGCAGGAGGGGAACCTTTCACTCTCCCACATTTTGCCTAGTTAAGGTTGTAATGTCTTTGGGGCAAGGACTCTCTCTTGCCAGGAGCATGTGCAGCCCCTGGTCTAATGTGGGCCCTGATCTCGGTCTTGAGCAGAGTTTGTGCGGTGCCTGGTACAAGGGGGGGGAGGGGCTGATTTCTGTTGGGAGAAGAATCTGTACAGCATCTGGCACAAGGGCATTCTGATGACCTCGGGCCCAGATCCTGCACCCCTATCCCAGTTGCTGGCAGCCCTGACACACACACTGAACCCCTCATTTTTGTCCCCGCCCCAAAGCCTAAGGGGGTCCATAAAATCCACTAACTCCAGAAAAGTAAATCTGGCCTATGGAAAGCCCTGAACCTCTGTCCTCCCTGTCCCTTCCCCTTGCCCCGTGGGGCTGGAGCGCCAGAGGATTGAAGTGTCCCAGTGAGGGGCCACCTCAGTGAGGGTTGGAGTTTTTTGCTTCTCACTTGTGGGGTCCCCAACTGATTTTTCTGTAGCTCAGCGACTCCCAACCCAAAAAAAGGTTCCCCACTCCTGCCATAAATAAAGAAAATATTGAAACTTTTGGTCTTGGACATACATTTTTTTACTTTATTTAAAATGAAGTTTGAGGAACCAACACAAGAAAGTTAAAACAAAAGACAGGCCTATGTAGCACTTTAAAGACTAACAAAATGGTTTATTAGGTGATGAGCTTTCGTGGTCCAGACCCACTTCCTCAGATCAATTTGTGGAAGAAAATCGGCACAACCATATATACCAAAGTAAGACAATCAAAAAAATGAACGCATGTGAAATTGACAAATCAGATTTTAGAACAGAGTGAGGGTGAGGGGGGAAGGTTAGTGTCTGTGAGGTAATGACATAGGGGTGATAATTGGGGAAGCTATCTTTGTAATGGGTGAGATAATTAGAGTCTTTGTTTAAAACACTTAATCTGTTTAATAATTTAAATTAAACCATTTTCCCAAGCTGGGAATGGTCCTAAATTTGTGTCAGCTGTGACGAATGATGCTGTAACTCGGTTAAACCCAGTTAGTGTCATGTTAGAATCCCAGAGATCTAACAAATCTGGTGCTGGTATTTTCATGTTACTACTGTGTTGTTGGAAAAGAGCAAGACAGCTATGTCTGATCAGGGTGATATCCTAGCCTGGGCACAAGGGGAACATGAGGGTGATTAAATTGTGGTGCCTACTGATAGAGTGGAAACTAGTAACAAGGAGGAAAAGATTCCTACCCTTGTGTGTGTTGAAACACATAACTTTCATTATATCAGTGTGGAAAGCTGCAAAGGGAAGAATGCCTCTAATCTTTTACCTAGTGAGTCTATTTGCCTAAAAGGGGGTTGTATAAAAATCTGCCTGATGGGCCAGAAACGATTCTGGGTGTCAGGGAAACTAAGAAGGAATTGGTGGTGGCTCAGCTTTTACACAGTTGGGTATAGTGAACTGCTGAAGAAGCTCCTAAGGAAAAGAATCCTCATGGTAGTTTTTGTAAGCAGTTTGCTGTGGCTGAAGGGAGTGGAAATGATTGGATTAAGGGAGATTAGGAGAAAGGTGCGCCTGTAAAAAGTCACTTATTTCAGTTCCTAACAGCCAGAATGTTTCTGCTGAAAAAGACTTTACTAATTTTGGTTTAGAAAGATCCAGTGTGGACAGTTTTGAGTTTTCAGATGGGTTGAAAGTTGTCTTATATGAAGTGGAAACTGCCAGAAAATTGGAACAACACCTGAGACACCAAGAGACTGTGTTTAACCAGCATCCTGGCCAATGTTGTTGGGACAGAAACATGTCCATGCTCATCCTGCAAGTGGATAGTGTGTGTCTAAGGTTCAGAGGAAAGTCTGGGTTGCAGTTAATCTCTCCAGAATGCAGCAGGTAAATTTTCATCTCTTGACACTTGTAATCTCTCAGGGAACTTGACATCTGATTCCACATGGAAACAGAGATTGGTGATGAAAGGACAAAAGAACTGTAAGTCTAACTTGCTAGTGAAAATGGATGGTATGTCATAGAATCTTAGGGTTGGAAGAGACCTCAGGAGATCATCCATTCCAACTCCCTGCTAAAAGCAGGGCCAATCCCAACTAAATCATCCCAGCCAGGGCCGTGTCAAGATGGGACTTTAAAACTTCTAGGGCTGGAAATTCCACCCCCTCTCTAGGTAACCCATTCCAGTGCTTCACCATCCTCCTAGGGAAATAGTTTTTCCTAATATCCAACCTAGACCCCCCCCCTCCACTGCAACTTGAGACCACTGCTCCTCATTCTGCTATATGTCACTACTGAGAACAGCCTCTCTCCATCCTCTTTAGAAATCCTCTTCAAGCAATTGAAGGCTGCTCTCAAATCCCCCCTCACTCTTCTCTTCTGAAGACTAAATAAGCCAAAAGCCTTCAGCCTCTCCTCATAAGTCATGTGTTCCAGACCCCTAATCATTTTGTTGCCCATCACTGAACTGTTCCAATGCACCCACATCCTTTCTATAATGGGGGCCCCACAATTGATGCAGTACTCCCCAGGTGACCTCACCAGTGCCGAATAAAGGGGGAATAATCACATCCCTAGATATGCAGACAATGCTCCTACTAATGCACCCCAGTATGCTGCTAGACTTCTTGGCTACAAGGACACAATTTTGACTCATATCTAGCCTCCCATCCACTGCAGTCCCCAGATCCTTCTTCTGTCTTTAAGACAGAAACCAACCTTTTGAAGGCTAAGACCAAAGTGTAGTGTCTGTTCTTATCAGTTTAATTGCTTAGAAATCAAGACATCTGAGAGTCTGAAAACTAGTGATCAGCTGTGTTGATGCTAGTTGCCTGACTGATGGGGGGTGGGGTGGGGAGACTCCATGGCCATCATGAGTAGAGAGAATACACTCAGCCAGCCTACTGACTCTGTTATTCAAGGGACACCAGAATTATGAGTAGAGAGAATACACTCAGCCAGCCTACTGACTCTGTTATTCAAGGGACACCAGAATAGAAGCTCTATATACCAACATCCCACATGAAGACGGATTACAAGCAATTAGAAACACTATCCCAGAGGACACTACTGCCAACCTGATAGCAGACCTATGTAACTTTGTTCTCACCCACAATTATTTCCGGTTTGAGAACAACTTATACCTCCAGATCAGCGGCACAGCCATGGGTACACGCATGGCCCCACAGTATGCTAACATCTTTATGGCTGACCTAGAACAACGTTTCCTCAACTCCCGTCCCCTTTCACCCCTCCTCTACCTACGGTACATCGATGACATCTTTATGATCTGGACACATGGCCAAGAAACACTGGAGATATTCCACAGAGATTTCAACAACCTACACCCCACCATCAACCTCAGCCTGGACCATTCTACACGAGAGATCCACTTCCTGGACACCACCGTACAAATCAACAATGGAAAATTAGACACCACTCTCTACAGAAAACCCACTGACTCATACAGTTACCTACATGCATCCAGCTCCCATCCAGAACACACCACACGATCCATCGTCTATAGCCAAGCCCTTCGATACAACCGCATCTGCTCTAACCCCACTGACAGAGACCAGAAGCTTCAGGATCTCTACCAAGCATTTATAAATCTCAACTACCCACCCGGAGAAATAAAAAAGCAAATTGAAAGAGCCAGACGAATACCTAGAAACCATCTACTTCAAGACAGACCCAAGA